ACTATTAACTTCTTTTATTAAAAGTAAGTTACTTTATAGGGGCTTTTTATAGTAGCTAGAATATTAGTATTATCTAATACTATTTTATAGAGCTATTAAGAACTTAGGCTCTCTAGCCTACCTTCCCTATAAGTCTGCCTAAGGCTGTTGAGCAGCTGAAGCGGGCCTATAGGGCCTACTATATAATATTAATACTCTATAGCTAGTTTCTCTCTTACTCCTTTTTCCTTTTTCCTTAAGAGAATTATTCATAATTATAATACCGATTCACAGAAGCCTAGGGCTAGTCTGTGATAAGAGCTACCTAAAACTAATAGAAGTAGCTATATTAGTACTTATACTATAATTTACTAGATAAATCTACTTTAGTAGATTTTAAAGGAGAATCTAGAATTATCTAGAGTTTTTTTTAAGTTACTATACTTATCTCTTTTTCTTTATAAATAAGCTATAAATTCTCCTAGTTAAAATATAGAATAATAAAGTTAATAATATATCTTTCTCTTATATATCTTCTATATATACTTCTACTTTTATATACGTATTAGTAATTACTATAATTTCCTATATAATATATCTTATAATTAAAATATTAGAGTATTATAACTATTACTTAGTATTATTTATATAGTAAGAGTTCCTTATATATATATATATTATTAATATACTACTAGTATTATTTACTAGTATACTAACTAGCTATAAGTAATAGGCCTATACCTTAAATAAAATACTTTATCCCTATAGTTACTTTTCTAGCCTCCCTATCTGTATTACGTCCTCTCTACGTTCTTAGTAGAGGCCTAGAATATCCTCAGATATTATAGTACTTCGTCAGCGAATATATAGACACGGCGTTGATTTTGGGGGAGGAGCTGGTGAAGACGATCTGCCGGGCCGTTAGCTATCAGTGCGCCGGGCCGTCAGCGGCAGCCGGCACACCTCTAAGAAGGCACCGAATTCTTCCTTCCTCATCTTCCCTCCTTCTATAAATCGTAGCCGCCGCTTAGAACCTCGCTTCCACAGTTAACCAAGAGGTCGACTCCTTCTATTACATCTATACTAGTGTACCTATGTTATAACCGACAACATACACGTGCCTAGCGTAGAGATATATAAGTAGCCTAAAAAGTCTAGCTAGTAGAGAGAGAATCATTCATCTACACACTACTTCTAACTACATATTTACTAGTAAATAGTGCTCGTAGAGTATTGCGATTCTGTTGACTGATTCTTAGTCTTAAGTAGAGGACTTATTAGCAATAACAAGTCACCAGTTACTTCCGTCGATAGAGGCGTTGGTGCCAGATGCCCCCGTGGCTTAACACCTTCCATGAATTCTCAGTAGCTACCGACTGAATCCCAGGAAGCAGCATAAACCGATATCCATTTATCTGCCGCTCTGGCTGGCTACCTCTCTTCCTCTCTACTAGGCCATCAATTTAAGATACTCCTCCGCGCCGCGATAATGACTTTAAAACGCTCTTTTACTGCCGCCGACACCGAACAAGAACGCCCTACGAAACGTCAAGCGTCTACAAAGAACTTCCTGCTCGCTGCCAGCCCCTGGCTACCAGAACCAGTCCAAAAAAAGCCCCTGATCACTGACGCCGCCACTCCCGCCGATTCATCCTCTAAGACACTCGCAGAGCTACGAACAATCTCAAAGAACACCGCACTACAGACCTGGAAGCGTCTGGTTAACGGATACACAGACAAGAGCAACAGCGGCTATAAACCAGCTATTCGAGAGGAGAATAGTTATCTTCTAGCCTAGAAAGCCCCTAACCGCGATATAAGCTATACCTTCCTAGCTAAACACTTAACACCACTAACTAGGTGTGATAGGTTAACGGATATATCCAAATCGCCCCTATTACCCTAACACTCAGCCTCCGATCAAGAAATGGTCAACGAAAACAGAAGCCCATGCCGCAAAATGCTCATCGCCTCGCCGTCGTTGCTCACCATGATACAGAAGCCGTGAACCACCTACTTTATTACTACTGGCATGCTAGCCACTTATGTGGCCGCCCGACGTGCATCGAGCCAAGCCATATAGTAGTTAAACCAAAGAGTGCTAATGAGTCTCGTAAGGGCTGCCGGGATAAAGTAAGTAATTTACAGTGGGGAGAGATAAATTCCGTACGATTTGATAGCTAATTTGTATAGTAAACCGTACGGAATTTTTGTCAACCCACTGTAGTATCTTTCCTATAGAATTTAAACCCGCTAATAACTAGTAGCTAGCTATTATTCGGGTGTCCCTAGGCGGGATAATATACCTACTACCACACCTAGAAGAGTGTCGATGCCAACCAAAATGCATTACCTACTTATTACAAACGCAGGAATGCCTGGCCGGCGGGGAAGCGGCCAGCAGGAAGTGACACAACAAAGGGAACCCAAATAGGAAGGAGGGACTACGTCACGTGACTACTCACTATAACCAGTGTACTTAGTCTACTTAACAGTAAGCACACTAGGCAAGGTAAGTAGAGGAGAGTAGTAGAGATTAAATAAGTATATAAAGGAAGGGAATTCCTATAGCTAGGTAGTCTAGATCTCTACTAATTAATCTAAGTAATACTAAGTAATTAGTATTAAGAGT